TCATTCTACAGTAAAAGCCGTGCTATCCAGCACTTTACTAACTGGCACGCGCTATTATGCGTGCAACTGGTATACCAGCATGCAACCGGTATGCCAATCGACGTGACAAAAGCGAAACTGGAAGTCCCACCGTGGCACTTCAGGTTTCACCAAGTCCCATGGCCCGGGGCAAAGCAGCCCACACTGACGCCAGGGAGTGAAAGCCCTGGTGCACCGGATGCAGCGGGAGGGGCAGGGGCCCTAACAGATGCCTCTCAGATAACCAGCATATTTGATTAACTGGCACTCCCCATTCCCCCTGGATGCCAGATAACACAGCCTTTGCTGTATATTACAAAAAAAAAAAAGCCCTATGAAAAAACCCCAAAAAGCAAACTATGGACACAAAGTTTTAACAGTTAATCATGTTAAAAACATGGCAAAATTATACCAAACTACTATAGACATTGATGTATAAGTTCAATCTTACCTTAGCTATGAGAATGAGCGTAGCTACATTTTTCACCTATACAAAATACAGCTCTTTCATGCCACACCAACAGCCTCTTTCCTTTTCTAAATTACAGTTATGATGCCCTTCAAAAATTACTCAGGGCTTGGGGTTTTTCATATTGGTGATTACTAAATGCTGGCCAGATAAGAGCTTGCAGCTGTGGGTTTCAGCTTGCTGATAAAGTCTGAACTGCTAACAATTTGGACAGTAGACATGCTTGTTGTGTATACATACTGATAAGTGGACTTACTAGCAAATGAGGGGGTAAATGCAGTGGTTGCAATGAATTTCCTGGTTTTGTAGTTTGTTATAGGCCATGAAAACTAACAATTTTAGGAAGAAAAAGAAATCTTTGTTTCCCTGGATTTTCTATAGTGATGTTTGGCAGGTGGAACCTATGAGCAAGTCGTAGCTCTGCTATCACCTCGATGGGCTAATGGGATTTAGTTCATGCAACCCTACGGGAGATTAAAAGAAGAGATAAAAGGACCCGGTGCTCTTGGTTTGTTGCAGGTTAGTAGTGCAGAGGAAGGGCATTCACTTGAAATAAAAGAGGCTGGAGGCAGCATCGCCTGAGGGATACTGCAGTGGGCCGGGCTCAGAAGACTTGATTCCCAGTTGTATCACTGGCCTGCTGGGTGACCTTGAGCAAGTCAGCTCATATATCTGTCTCTCCATTTTCCTCCCCTGCAAAACTGGGTAAAGAGACTAACCTCCTTTGTGACGTGCTTCAAGATATACTGGCATAAAACATGAGATACCAGTTGGCAGTGTTATTTCTTTCTTTATTAGATTTATATCCTGTCCTATCCAAAGGCTCAGAGTGGTTTGCAATAAATAAACATCCCACAGGAAGGATTCCCTGAACACCCCTCACAAAACCCATGAACGCCATAGGAAGGACGTGACCATTGTCCAGAGCTTTCCATATTTGAAGAGATCATTGGTTGTGCTCATGCTACATCTTAGTAGCCTTGGTAACAACAGACTGAACTGGTCCATAAAGCCCAAGTACGTCTGTCTGTTTGGGTGCATCCTCATACATGCAAAAGAGGTCTAATGTATCTAAAGGATTTTCTATCACAAAAAGATTCTGTATCTTGGTGGGGTCTTTCTGGCTAACTTTTACAATAACTCCACAAACAGGCAACTGCAATCCCAGGCTGTAGAGAATTACCACAGAATAACAGCAGCAACAGAGTTCTTAGGCACCTAGAAATGCCCCAGATTGTTACATCTTTTTAAGAAGTATATATTTTCTTCCACTACAATGATTATTCAGGAGCAAACAGCACTGATGTAAATACAGGTTGCCTAAAGGTTATTTTTGACAAACATCAATTGTGCTAGTCAGATCACTTGCAGCTTTATAAGCACAGTCAAGTTTACAGTGGCTTCTTTTAACCTGCTTCATAAGGAGACAAGACACATGTTGGCACCCAGAGCACAAGTGAAGTGGGCCAGCTTAACTGATACCACCTGAAATAACCTGTCCAGTGATACAGGCCTGGATACACTGGCTCAGTCTGAGTACTCAGGAACAGGCTGAGACCAGGTAAGAGCGCTACATGCTTTATTCTGCAAAGCACTCAGGACTCTTGAAACTTGTAACAGATTCTTGACCCTAATCTATTAGCCCTTTGTGGCCTCAGGCACTAGAAAGGGAGACAGCCCAGCTAGGGTATTTCTCATGGGTGCAGGGTCCCCAGTGAGCAGAGAATTAACAGAATTTCCTCCTCTTCTGTCCTTTCACACCAAATGCTTTTGTTTGGGGCTATGTTAGAAGCAGGGAAGAAGAAGAGAAGACTGGGCACGAGGAATAGTGCAAAGAGCTCAATGTGCTTCAGAAATAACCAGCTAAGGCAGTGGGAGCCAGCCTTTTGGCCACAAAGTAGACCCTGTATCCTCCCTCAGTGCCACTCGGAGCCCCTTTCCTTGTTTGATCTGGTGCTTTCCTTGGTGCTCTCTGCCCTATCTTCCACTATGTTTCCTGCTCCGTTCCTGATCTGCAGTGTGCTACAGAACACATAAAAGCAGTCTGTGTTGCTTGTGATGTGTGGTGTGGGTTGGTCACCCCTGAGATAAGGGATGACAGCAGCTGATATGATTTACAGCAGGCCCTCCAGATGCTGTGGCTTGTGTAGGATGTCCCCAAATGCCCTTGCCTCCAGGCCCACCCTCATTTGTTTTTTTCCCCCTTATGACAGGCATAAACAACTGAATCTTGAATCACTGAACACTTACTCCCAGTACAAAAGTTTCCCTGATACTTCCCAACAATGAGATGAGGAAGGACCTGCCATCCACAGTGTTCTGGAGGGAAGTTCAGCTCTAGTATAAACAGGCTGTTAGACACAAATGAGGGCCATGGGATTACAGAAACAGGATGCTAATTAATAGCTCTGAACTTCACCTGTTAGAATGATAACATTTTACATCATTAGCAAAAATCTGGCAATGACCTTTGTATTTTCTGACATTAATTAGATGAAATTAAGTTCTGTTTCTTGAAAACTCAAAGTTCTGAAGTGTTTCTATCTGGGATTATGGGCTTTGACTCACTTTTTATTAACGATTTTTAATGTCATTTTCCAGGCTGAATTCTGTGATTAACCACAGGAAGCCCAGTAAAGCAACATTTCCAAGGACACAGTGTGAAAAGCAGAGCAATGTGAAATTAATAACTTTTACTACCCTGCAGGAAAATGTGAAGAGATTAAGATCCTGAAAAACACCAGGATATTAAAAAGGAAACTTCTAATAAGAGATAAATAGAAAATGGATCATAGAATAAAGGAAGGAATATAATTTGGTTCAGGCTCACCCACAGTACAAAATTTTCCAGATGGTTTGATATGTGTGTGTTGGAAAACACCATAGCAAACGTCTGTCTCGCTTGTATTCATCACCGAGTAGCTCAATCTTGTATGGCACTGAGCATTTCTGTATATGATGCTGGGTGAGATCAATGAGCATTCAAGGAGCTCAGGATCTCAAGGAAATATTTAACAGCTTGCACAATTCAGCCATGTTTCAACTTAGACAATTATATATACATTTTACTCATAACACATGAGCCTCCCCTCTTTCTCAACTGCACTTGTCAGTTTGTATAGCAAGGTGGATAATACGTGAAAAACACATTCCCAAGCAAATGCATTTCATAATCTTAATTTTTTTTCCCCAAACATTAATTCTAGGGGCAAAACACTGTGTTTGGAGATTGGATAGAACACAGAGAGGAAGAGCCAAGCTGCCTTCAATTCTGTCATATGATGTACCTATCTCCATCCTCAAGGAACTAGCTGTCTCCTTTCAAATGTTTGTCCATGAGCGGCCAACTGGGTTAGGATGCTGGCTGCTTACAGCAAAATAATTCTTAAGAGTTACACCATATTATCCATTGCCAGAAAGCCCTATGAACTACAGATGGGGGGAAATTTTGTCAGAATATGTAATCCCCACAGAGTATCATTTCAAGGATCATTAACTTTGGAGAGGACAGATATTACTGCTACCTGCATTTGCAAAGTGTGGTGTGCTAATTATAAGATAGCTAGCTACTGGTCTTACTTTAATATTTATACGGTGGTTTGCCTTATTCAATTAGAAGACCAATATGTGTATTACCATTTTCCAAATACTACTGAGTATCTCAGTGTCACTTGCCTGTGGTCTCGTGTGCTTCAGATTTTATATAGACCTTAACTAATCTGACAGATGAGCCCTGTGCTGATGCACAAAAAGGGCTAAAGGAGAAGTGAAAGAATCTCTTTCTTCTTTGACAAATGACCACATAGCATGGTCTACACACAAAAGCTAACACCACGCTCCAAAGGGAGAGAACTGTAAGAAAACAGGGAGCTGTTTGGCTCCCAGATGCCTAGAGGCCACAATGCAGTCAGCTACATATACCTGCTTGGAGGAACAGGTAAGTGCAGTCAAAGATACTTCTTCCTTTTGTTTGGGCCACTGGGGGTCACGATGCAAAAGAAACACCTGCCAATGCCACTACTCTTTCTGTGAGCACTATTTACCATATTTACTTGAATACAAGGTGAGGTTTTTTTCCCTGTTCAGCTTGGGGGGGCAGGGAGCCCCTCGTCTTGCATTTGAGTACAAGGCAGGGTAGAGGACCAGGCAGCTGTTGTGACTGACTTTGACTCCAAGCATGGGTCAAAGGCTTGAGTCAGAGCCACAGCAGCTGCCTGTCCCACCCCACCCAATTTGTGCCCTCTTCAGCTTCCCCCACACCTTCTCCCCTCCCCACTTTAATGTAAGATGCAGCTCTGGCTCTGGCTCAATTCCCTCCGGGGCGGGGGAGGGAAAACTCTGTCCCCTGCCTCTCCTATTAGCAGGGGCATAGCTCCAGTCCCAGAACTGCTGCATGGTCAGGCAAGGGCCATGCCTCCATGTGCTCTGTGACCAAGGGGAATCAACGCAGAGCTACATCTGATAGCAAGGGAGGGGGGACAGGGGCTGTGGGGAGCAGGCTGCAGAGGAAAGAAGTAGTGTGGGGGCAGAGGGCAAGGAGGCCACCTGTCCTCCTGCAGCTGTGTTCACTGTAGCAGTGGGAGGGATGAGTTTAAGATGACCTTCTGTTTGTCAGACTCTATACCTAGAAATGTACAACAAATTCATAAAGTGATCATACATAGAATCTAATTACTGGGGGATTGTCTTAAATTTGAAGTTGTCATTAATTTAGGTAAATATAATAATTCCAGTGGTCAGAGGGTTTAGAGTTGGTCCAAGTTACAATGGATCTAAATCTGAAATTCCCCATGTTCTCATGTACAGAGAATGAGCCAAGTTCTGAGGTTCAGATAGGTACCTTGGTCTTAATACTTAGGTATCACATCAATAAGTTTGTTATCAAATGCCTTTAGGCAAACATGTCCAGGTCCAGGTGCAGAGTTTTAAGAGCCTCAGCCTCAGGCCAAGACCATCCCTAATCCACTTCACAAAAACACACTGCAGAGCCTTTTCAACCAACAATATGTTTAAATCCTTGGAATATTCAACTTATTTAACTATAAAGTTGCTATGGGCACCTGCATTTATTTAAATACAGGATTTATTTATGATCTTGTCAAATCTTGAGACTGGGCCTGCTGCCAAGTTTCTCTATTTTACATGCCACCCTGTCAAGCCAATTGTTTTAATTAAGTTACATCAGATTCTTTCCTGACAGCTTCTGATGATGAAAATATGTGTAGTGAGGAACTGGTTCCTTTTCATCTTGCCTGCAATTACTAACAAAGTTATATAAAAATAGGGCACTTCTTTGTATATGACTACATGGCAGTGTCTCATTTTCATAAGCAGAAGCTTGGTCCTTTTCAGTTCATTCCTGAGTACTTGATTTTCATAGCTACGCATGCCCTTTCATTTTGGCCCAGTACTTCAGGAGGTAACACACACACATGCACACATACACTCGCAGCTAATTGCACTTAAACTTTTTTAGGATTTTAAATCTAAGCCAAGCATTCTACTGGCAAAGTCATCAAGCAGTTAAAAAAATCCTATTGGGTAATTACCATGATGTCAATTTATTTTTTAATCATGGTGAAACTGTTTTGCTTTCAACCATGAAGTAGTTTTACTGCAAGATGTATCATATCTATAGAGCCTCGCTGAAACACTGAACAATCCCATGGAACTAATAACGCAATTATGAAGTTAGTGACACATCTGAAAGCTGAGGGGGACATGCCATCAAACTATTCTCTCATGCATTATTGTTTTAAAATGAAAAAAGTGGAGGAGGGACACACGGGGCACACTAAATCTTTTCATCTGGCCCAATCCCAATTAGATGGGTTTGGCATTAGTACTCCAACTGAGTGTTGAGGACTTTGCTCTGGGCTGATCCTTGAAGGGGAGGAGGCGGGGGGAAGACGGAAGGTGTCCTACACACAGAGATTATGCTTACACATCTCTCCATGCCCCCAAGTACAAGGCCTGGGCTGTCAGAGGCATTTCTGCACGGTCACACTATTTTCATTACATTCCAGGCTTTATTTGGGCCATAAGATTTGGCACTTCATGGCTTTGTCTCTAGCTAGAACACTTGGGGACTTCATTTATGGACCTCCCATGAGCATTAACCAAAGTCCTCCTTTGTAAACTCTCTCTCTGTGAAGGGGAGAATAGAGTTTATAGGATGCTCATCATCTTAAATACTATAGGTGCCAGATTGAGCCTCCGAAGCCTAATTCAGATTCACCTTCCACACCGCTGAACGACAGGAATGCCACTGCTCCCTCACTCTCGGAGAACCTTATGGTCTCTAGAGTGCAACTTTGGGAATCCTCTCATGCAATTTCATGGATTGAGGATCTCTGCAGCGGTGTGACAGCAAGCCAGCTGCCAAAAGAACCAGGGCAGCTTTAAAGGCCAACACTTTGAACAATAAATAGATGCAAAAGCTGAAATGCTGACTTAGGGCATTCTGATTTGGAGGGGAAAATGGTTCAAAGGGAAAAATAAGCCAAAATTCTCCATATATTTGGCAGCTTTAATTCAGCCTTAAGCTGAGTGGCAGAGAATAACGGGGGGGAAAAAGCAGCCATCCCTATGCCTGTAAAGGGGGGAGAAGATGGAAAACTACCCAATACGTGGAGGTTGTATATTAATATTTATCAGCTGCTATTTTTCTATGCTCAGGCCCTGCATCTTTTTAAAACAGGAGAAAGAGGCAAGACATGACTAGCATTCATTTGAATTCTGCCTGAAGATGCAGCTACATATGCCCAAGGCAAGGAAGGCTACAAATTATTCTGGATGGGTAAGGCCCTTCAAACAATTACTCACAAAAGGTAATACAAAGACATTATCTAGTAACAGAACACTGAATATAAATACCTGTATAAAATGCTGTCTGCAATTGATTTTACATTGTGCCCCTCAAAGCTATTATCTACCCATAGGAATATATTAACATCTAAATATGAATTTTTGTCAAGCTTGTCAGCAATTTCACTTCAGATACTGCTCTCCATTTTTCTGTTGCCTCCCCACTATAATTAACTTGTGAAACCAATTCACTATGAAAGCCTACACATGAGCAAAACAGGACTATTTAGTAATCCTTCTGATGGCAGTTTTCCCCCCTTAAGGGGGATCATTGGCAGTTATTTTGGCTGCAAAATTTCTCTGAATTAAGATTTTGCTTTAATTTATAAATAATGTTTACTTGATCAGATGACTTTGGTAGAAAATGTGGACTTCAACACAACCAATGAAAAAGGCATCTTACTACCCAGATCTTTATTTTCTAGAAGGGATAGATCCAATGAACTATCAGTGTCGTTTCAGTTAGCCAGCTGTACAATGGAAACTGAAGTTTTTTGCCTTTCCCACTTCACATGCTTGCCAGTACTTCATCCCCTGGAATACAGGCTGCCTGCAGGCAGTGATACCTATTATATATACTTCTGGAACTATTACAGTCAAGATACGCATCATCCCTATTCACTGACTTGAAAAAGGGAGCGTTAGTTAAACCAGGCACACAGCTACTTGCTTGCATTGCTTTAAGACTCATAATATCTACACTTTAAAACACAGCTGAATGATAGCATGTTTAAAATTTACACATATGCTTAATGTACAGTTTCAAGGACCCTTAAAATCTTCCAATGTCTCCCATCCATTGCACCTGGAAAACTTGGTAACTACATTTTCTGGGAGTATCAGATGTACAGTTATTTAATATAATGCTGTGATCAAAATACCAACCCAAAAGCAGATTAAACGCACACAAACACAAGCTAATAGAAAATTCAACCAGTAGAAAATAAGCACTTTCTATAGAAACATCACTTTCTTTTTATATTTAATGGACCCACACGGATCTGTCACATCAAGTTTATACGGAGGACATCTACTGGCTTTGCTCATGGGTAAAGCTTTCACCTCCAAACAATTTGCAAGTGTAGCCAAACTTTTTGCTACCAAGGTTCAAATTCTAAGGCTGGGCCAGTGCTTAAAATGGACAACATGTCTACCTGTATTTATATAGACATCTATACAGACACACACACACGAGAAATACTGTTGTAGCTGTCCACTCCTGCAGTATTCGGGTCTCCAATCTTCTTAGAATGTGAAGGCATATACCACTCCCACAACCACAATGTTTCCAATTGTTGCTATGATCGCAATCCATAATAGTATGGCATCATTTGAGGAGCGAGGCGTTTCTTCTGGTGGGTTCTGCATTGAAGCAGCTGCATGGACATTGGCCGATGAGTTAAACAAGGAGTATTCGGTACTAAAGTCCTCATTGGGTGAGTCCATGAAAGCTCCTCCCATAACAGGAAGCTGTGAAGGACAGAATTATGATTACCATTAGAATGAAATTCAAAATTAACATTTGTTTTGTCCTAGAAGGTTATAATTTCAAATAAATAAGCCAGTAACAATCCCCTCTTTTGCTAAGTTTGCAGAGATCTCATGTGCATATTGGGATACAATGATCATGCACACAAGAGTATCTTTCAGTATACATATTCTTTTCAGTAAAAGTCAATAGATCTGACCACGCCTACAACATGGCCCTAATTTTACTACTAGGGTACAAACCATTAGCACCTAGTGTGATGAACAGAACTATTAAAAGAGGAGACTAAAGAAATAACAGAACAGAAAATTAAGTATATGATGCTTTCCCCACATCACAGGAACATAGGACTGAAAAGAGACTTCTGGGGTACTATTCACAGACCATAATCTATCTAAAAATTCCTGAAAAAGCACCCACTTCAAACGCTCACACACCACAACTACAAGACAAGACCAGAAATACCAAGACTCCCCTATAACAAGCCACAGGTAAAAGCAGGAGAAACGAAAGCATTGCCAAAGCTCTCTATCGCTGCAATGCCAGTATGCTCACAGGATTCTAGGAAGAGGACCATGCCCTACACCCCATAGAGGAAAGGAAAAAACCCCAAAAACCCTTACCAAACTGACTTGAGGGAAAAATCCTTCCTGACCCTAAATGTGATGATTGCTTTGACCCAAGTAAAACAGTAAGATCTTCTAGCAGGAAAACTGTAAGATTTCTTGTTACCAGCAGGAGCAGTGGCTGTGTACTTCAAAGCCGCAGCCTTAGTCATAGGTCATAGCCAATGTCCCATCCAGAAGCCAATACAGCATTAATAAAGGAGGAAAAGAAAGAGGCCTTCCTGGTTTACTGATGGCCACAGAAACCCTGAGGTATGTGATGTGTTATCAAGAAGTGACCAGGTAAATTACATGGAACAAAGTGAACACAACAATCCCAATTAACACAACAATTCCAATTCTGTGTTTGCTAAAGCAGCTTCTGATCAATTTAACATTGCCCTCCTGCAATAGAAATTATTCATTGTTCCACCCTCTGGAGTCTAGGAACTCCCTTGTCAAGATGTCATATTCACACCTCTGAATAAATTAATTACAGAAGACTTCAGAATTGATGCTGAAAGTCCTGACTTGCAACTGGTGTTAATCTGTATAATTCATGGCATTATGGTCAAAGATCTGAGCCAACCTGTTAAAAAAAACAAAACACAGAGGAACAGAGGGCTAGATGCTAAATGGAAAAAAAAAGCTTTTAAAAACTGCCTGATAGATTTTTGTGGAGAAGGGTAAAGTTGCCTTTCTCTTCTTAATAGGTAAGTTAGCACTGTACATGGCATTTAAAAAAAATGAAGAGAAAAAAAAGAACTCTGTAAGATGGAAATTATTCAGTGTATGAGTCAGACTCTTAGGATATGGAAACTTCAAAGCACACTAACAACACTGTAGTTAGAATTTAAATTGTGCTTCCAAGCTTGTCTTAGTCAATGCAGAATTTTATGTTGTGATAGTACAGCCAATCTCATGTACAAAGAGGAACAGCCACATCATCTTATCTTCCAACAAGCCTATTGACTCCTAGTTTATTTAAGGATAAAGTTCAATATTGTTAGGCTAGTTCCACATCCTGAAGGCCTTAGACAAAATATAATTTTGTTTCCTCCTCCTTCCTCATCTTGCACATGAAGGACTTCTATCCCTCAGCTGTGCTAGCCTTTGTGGCTTATCAGCCAGGTCTGTCCCCCACAATTACCTTTCTTTCTTTTTCTTTTTCTTTTTTTTGGTAGAAAATTTTAATTTTGTAGGAACCATTTTCCAAGTGGGAGGAGTGGAAAACATTTTGATGGATAACTTCAGCCCAGCTCTAATCTGCACGTTCTCCCCTGTAACCATCTGTGGCAGGAACAGCTCAAAGCAAATTTAGTGCTCCTGGGATGGCAGAGGGAGAGAGAGTTGGCTGTGAAAAGCTCGACCACTGATTGGTTGTAGTTTTCACTGGGGTCTAAAAATAACTTTAAATCATTTTCTGAAAATGCTTAAAAAGCAGCAAATTAGGGCCAAGAAACAAAGCTTCCAAGTCTGTTTTCATCTTTTTCAGTTAACTAGAGATGTACAGTTCTATTCCTAAGAATAGAATTCCTGCACATAGGCAGAGAGATTTGATGATGATTATGAGATGACTATTAGAGCTGTATCCAGAGACCACAGAAGTATCCAGAGACCAGCTGTGAATCCTGGCACTCTTATGCAGGAACAGGTAGAAGAAACATTCACACCTTTAGTTAGGCAATTGATTTCAAGGATGTGAAAGCTTGGAGTCATAACTAAAAGACAGACAATGCCTAGCTCCATAGATCAGTAATTCTCAACCTTTACAGACTCAAGGCACTCCTCCACAACTTTTGTAACTGAGCAGCACCCCATTTTAAAAAATGAAATAATTTATTATAGTTCTTGTCTCCTTGCAAAGGAGCTAGGCAGTGTTGGCAAGACAGCACCCATGTAGCAATGAGCCTGAGCCTGCACTTATTTTCTCACACTTTGCAGCACCCTTCAAAAAGATCTTGCAGTTGAGAATTGCTGTTATACATAAAAAATGGTGGCTAGTTAACTTGAACTTTCATCACTGCATCAGGCCCTTCACATCCTTATGAAGGCCAGAGTTGAAAGGTAGATTTATTCTATGCAGGGAGAAGGCTTAATAGTCATTTCACTACGACAAAGACAGTTTACAATTACTGTTGGAAAGCCAGATTGCACAATGTACTGTGGCTTCCCCAGCACCCTCTGTGATGACAGTCATTAGAAGTTAAGGGTGCTCAGCACTTTGAGAGATTTGGCATGTGAAACACAACTCTTTTGAACCTGCAGAGACTGGAGAAATAACAATGCTTCGTTGAGAGGCACCGTGATCAGTAATGTACAGAGTAGTCCAAGATCGAAATGTAAGTCAATTATAGAAACAAATTGTAATTATCCTCTTGCCCTAACATAAAATTATTCACTAACTTTCAGAAGCAAGGAGTGGAGGTCAACAAAAGGCCTTGCTAAGTTATTACTTCACAATGAGATTTTCTCTCCAAACCTTTAAGAACTTGGTGAAAGATTGTTGTTATTTGTCCTCCAAAATCTGGTGAAACACATTTTTTTAATTTGCAGTTCCATTGCCAATTAAAAAAAATGGAAAAGAGCTCAAACAGATTTGTGAACAAACTTTACAAATGAGAATTCTGCAGAAGCTAAAGGTCACCTCATTTTAAGAACACTGCTGAGCCAGGACAGCTGTGAAAAATGTTTTTTCCTTAATTGTCCTCTTGAATCACTGTTACAAAAAGTATTAGATTTTAGCTGGATGGGAAACCATTAACAAGCAGCCTCAAAATGACACTCTGAATTGCCATGGGACTTGTTCTGTGCATAACCTGTGGTGTCTCTACCATGAAGATTTTTTGGGAAAAAAAAGTGTTCCAGTAGTTGCTACAACTGGCTTTTCATCTAAAGTCCTTAAAAACTCTTCCATTTAAATAGTATATAAACATATTTTACATTCACATTTGTTAGGAATCTCAAGAACTCAGTATTGTATTATTCAAAAAGATCATGTTTCCTAGGGGTTAGACTACATCATATGAAAAAGTCCTTGGAAAAAATTATTCAGTCAACACATGGAGGTTTTCTTATGGGGCGAGAAGGGGGAAGAAGAATGCATTTACTGCAAGCACCATGTAATAAAACAGCAAGGGGAACTGCTTCCTATTAGTCAACAGGGTCTTTAGTCAACCATTACAGTCTCCACTAAAATTAAATGAATATTCCCACTGGTATCACCAGAAAATAGATCAAAATTCAACAACATTTCCGTTATACTTTTCATCTCTTCTTTCAGCCATCATCAACCATTTGTTTCTGAATCAAGAAAATAATTCCTGGTCATTAGTGAGAGGCTGATCATATCATCCATAAAGATTTTGAATGAGAAAATGTGGGGTGAAATAAAAAAACTAATAAAACTGACCATTTCTGTCAGTTATTCACATGTTAACCTTTCCCTTTAAGGAAAGAGAAATTAGTTAAAATTACCTCAATCATCAAAAAGAACGTGTGAGGAGGAAAGCAATCAATTTATAAATTTAGGATATTTAGTCTTAGTTTAGAATTATAATTCTAGCACTTTAGAAAACAAAACCATTGATGGCTTTTAAGAAAAAAGGGTGGATCAGATCTCTGAATATTAAATCCTGCACTAAAAGTCTGGAGAGACTGAATGCATTTCTTCCCTGGGTTTGCAGGAGTTAGAGAAGATGAACAGCTTCTCTAGGGATTAGATACTCATTGTGGGAAAAGCCTCTGTAAAATCAATTCTCTCTAAAACATGGCTTCCTAGTTCCCATAAGCATAGGTTTGTGTAGGAACCAATGGGTCCAGGAAGGAGTGGGGGAGTGAAAACACGGTCCCAGCTGCTTAAGGTCTGAGAAGCACTCAGATCTGGACCTTAGGGTTGGGCAATGTGGGCAACTGCCCAGGGCACCATGGTCAGGGGATCACCACACACATGCACACATGCATACACACACACAAGCAGACCATGCTCACATCAGAGCTCTCCCCCCAGCCCATCCTGGCTGATCCCTGCCCCAGGCACGAGAAGTGGTGCCCAAGTCAGGCAGCGCGGGCAGCAGCAGCAGTGCCTGCCCACCCACCTGCCTGGCACACCATGTGATTCCACTATATCAATGGTGCTCCACCTTCTGGCCTTGAATGCCGGATCCACCTGCGTGTGTTAGCCCCCACCGCAGAGTGAACCTGCTCACCAACATGATCTAGTACGCAGGACCATGTCATCCACCCCATGGGATTCCCCACAGCTCTGGAAATTTGGCAGCAATTAATACCACTACCATTCCCCTGTTGCTGAATTTCAGGATCTGTGGTGAGCCTCATGGGCCAGAGGACATGCTCTGAATGTCAGATCTGACCCATGGGTGACA